TCAGGAAATATGCAGATGAAAGATCGGAAATGATTACTCAGTTACAGAAGTTAGGATAATCAGAAATTATCTTGAAAAGTATTTTAGAATATAGATGTAGTGGGCAGGGAAGAAGGTTTCTGTTTGATTATTGGAGGACAACTGACCTGATTTAGCTTAATATAGAGTAACGGTGTGTTGACGTGGATTAGAAACAGAAGGTGGCGGTAATGCAACGCTAAAGATGCCAACCGCTGTAAAACACCAGCGAAGAAGAAGGAGACGGAAGGGGCGGGACGAAGTGTAAGAGGAGAGATTTGGTGCTCTCATCATGGCGGGATACATGAAAATGATTAGCAGTTTCATTTTCACGAGTGTTAAATGTATGGTGCTGCTTTTGTGTTTACCGCAAATATCACACCAGACCACGGGTAAAGTATAGTGTTACGCTGCAATAACAGAGAATTTAATTTATAGGATAACGTTACATATTTTTAACAAATACCGTTGTCTAGGCTAACTCATGTTAACGTTAGCTTTTATGTTTGTAACGTACACTTACTGAAGTTACTTGATGCTAAACCTTTGTGTCAGTATGTTATTGCTAGCTGGTGTCTAATTCTTGTTTCTGAATAAATGTGATACTTAATCTGTCAAAGTTTATGGTTAATGTTGCTCGCTTTCTCATGTTGATATAACGAGCTATGTATAAGTCCAGTGTGTCCGCTCAGCCGGAACTTGATTTTTATATGTGCAGCAGATGTTTGTAGGATATGAAACGGAGTGTGAAGGGAACAAAGAGGGTGTAAATCACAATACATCTTTAAACAATACAAAGCAGGTGAAATACAAGAGCACCACCTTTGTATATTAAATATTCCGTTTTTGTTCAGACTGTCATCTGATATTTCAGTCTTGTGGCCTAATTGCAGATGTTATTGGGTTAGCAAACCTAAATGTTTAACGAAAAAAAAAGTTTATAGGTAAACAGAAACGCAGCAACCTGCACTGTGTATAGAGAGATTGGGAGATACCGTGTGCAGACGTTTGGCTACCCCTATTATATAGTTTTTAAGTTAAATACAGCAGACTATATTTACCTGTATTGCAATTTTAACTTGCACATAAAATCAAGGTTATGATAATTTACTTCCACTCAAAATGAAATTGTAAGGTTAAAATATTATTGATAAACGTGGGTTATTTCTTTTACTGAATGTATTGGCCAGGAACACGTGAAATGAGTGTGTAATTGTTCCCACTGTGCCCACCAAAATCTGATTGGATATTTTCCCTGTATGTTGACCTGATTTATAAGAATAATTTGTAGGTAAAATGGAACCTTAATCTCTCATTTGAAAATGTTCATTAGTGTTCTAAAACTTGTCATTTATTTTACAAATAAAGTTAAAATCCTGGTACAATTTAAACCCATGTGTGTTCCAAATAATCCCACATCATGATTTATTGATAAATATAAAAATGTATTGTTTTAAAATAATTTTTAACAGAAATCGATTTACTGTAACATTTTAGGAAGAATTTATTGTACTTGTTTTTTTGTAGAAGGTTTTGATCTCTGTGGTTTCTCAGTTAAAAGGACTACCAACCACCCTCTAGGGGACTTTGGATGAACTGCCACTCAAAATCTTATTAACAATAATAAAATATTTTGACTGTGTTTTTGAAAAATTGCCTAACCCTGTGTGCAGAACTAATCTAAGTCTAATATTTAATAGTGCATTTAGTAAATATTGATTATAATAAAGAAAAATGTCCCAAATATATTTAGTTTTCACTCCTGCTTGAGCTTTGCTCTGTATTTTGCTTAAAAAAACTACAATGCATAGCTAATGTAGAAATTTTGTGTTATGTTAAACTATACATTTTGACCATTTTAAAGATTTATTTCTTAATAGGAATCAATGAGCGTGGTCCCAAGTGCCACAGACATGACAGGGATGTTGCAAAGTATTCAGTATTTGTGTCTGTGTTTAGGAAACCCAGGTAACAAACCTCCAGTAATTGATTTACTTGATGGAGAGGAGTATGTCGAAAGAGGGCCCAACAGGTTCTGCTACAGAAACTCAGTAACGCCAACCTGGAGGCAAACATGGGCAAGAATTCAGGTAAGTTGCATGAATGATAATCAGCCAAATCTGAAAGTATTTAAAGATTTAATTTGTCAGCAGTTATTGTTGTATCTTAAGGCACTTAATTCTCCTTGAGGCAAAACTCAGTTGTTTAGACCCATAATAACTGAAGGTGTCTAACAGGTCAAAGTGTGGAGCTCAAATGTATTTAAAATGGAAACTGTGGAAGGAGAGGAGGAGCTGCAGGAGCTGGACCACTTCAGTTTCTGGGGCTGGTTTCAAAGCTTGTTACGTGAACGGCAAAATGAAACCACTATTAATATCGGCCTGTTCAGCAAGAAGACGTGCTTCAAGATCGATCCTGCTGACAAGACTGAGTACACCATCAAACCCCTTCGCAGTAAGTGTAAGAACAAGTTACATTTTCTGATCGCCGACAGATGCTACTTGGCTGGCATGATGTTTTGTTTTTTGTACGTCCCCCCCCAGAGTTTGATATCTACCTGTTTTTGGTGTTCATTGCTGGAGCCTTGTTGTTCCTCTTTGCAGATTCACTCAGCAGGTATTTCTGTCTCACTTAACATCCCACTGTCAGGATTTTACGGGGCCATGAATCCTTATTAACTGTTTTCCCTTCATTTGAAGGAGTCAGGTTTTTTTCTACTCTGCTGGTGTGAGCACAGGCATGATCGCCTCTCTTATCATCCTCTTTTTCATTTTGGCACGCTTTTTGCCAAAGGTAACTTATTTCATTGTCCTCGAGTATGCATACGTTTATGGGTCAAAACAATTTGGTTTTATGCTCAATGTACTATTTCTGTTTGCTGCTTCCACAGAAAAGCCCTTTTTATGTGTTGATTCTTGGCGGCTGGTCATTCTCTGTGTACGCCATCCAGCTCGTCTGTAGGAACCTCAGCATAATTCTGCAAGAACACTTGCACATGGCATTAGGTACTGACTCTGTGAACACAAACTTTATGCACACGGTAACTTCCTGGAATTGAAAACCTAAAGCAAGGCTCTTAATATTCAACAAATGCTCACCGCTGCTGATGTGCATCTTAAATAGCTATTTTAAAACCTCTGAGCATGTAAGCAAACATCTCCTGTTTTAATTACTGATTAATCTGCTAGGTATTTTCATAGTTCACAAATAAACTGTTTTGTCAATTAAGTGTCCTAACCTAACGAAAAATGCCCATTATAGGGCTGTAACGGTACACGAAAGCTACGGTTTGGTTCATTTTCTGTACAGTAAGAGGGAAAATACAATATACTTAATTTTTAAATAAAATGTATAAAAAAGAACAGAGAATAGAATACTGCTGTGGCACTTTGACAGAGCCTGTAAATAACTTGGCACATTCACCATGCAGACTTTGTGTTGCACTCTCCACTAGAATAGCGCTTCTTTAATACTGTGCTAATCAGTGTTTCTGGTTTTTGACAGGTTATGTAGCAGTGGTGGGATTCATCAGTTTTGCTGTGTGTTACCGTTATGGTCCTCTGGTGGATGAGAAGAACATTAACATTTTGTCATGGACGCTGCAGCTGTTTGGACTGCTCCTGATTTATTTAGGAATTCAGATTCAGCAAGTTGCTTTCGCCATCATTGTGGCAGCTTTGTTCTCCAAAAATCTGGATTACCCGGTCTCTCTGGCAGTTGCTGCATGGAGGTGGGTGTTGGCAGTGCAAACAGAAGGTGGCGTAAGACTACTGCACTATATTAAACTGAAGATCCCCTCAGTTTGTGTGCTATTCATGACTCTTTTGTTATGTATCAGTTTTCTCAATAGTGCACAAGTTGTTTGTTCTTTGATATGTGATGCTCTTATTTCAGCCTTGTTGATGTATCTAGATTGACATTGCATGAAGTACTGAAGCTCATAGCACTAATCAAGTACCACATAGCAAAAGCCCATGGTACTGTATATTAATTTTCCCTTTAGTATCTGTAATCATATTAAGTTCATATTTAAATTTGTTGTGCAGGAAAGTCAGACGGTATGTTCACTGGAAGCCAGAGCCGCGACGCCTGTTGACTGAGGAGGAGTATCAGAAGCAGGGGGAGGAAGAAACTCGACGTGCACTAGAAGAGCTGAGGAAGCACTGTAACAGCCCAGAGTTCAGCCCATGGAAGACAGTATCCAGGCTTCAGTCCCCAAAAAGGTGTGTGGTTTGTTTTTTTTTAATGATTTGTTCAAGTTAAAAGATGTCTGAAATAGAGAGCTGGTCATACAGATGTGGGTAAATACTTATGCCAACAAATATTAATTAAAATCTTTTCACTTTGACAGTGATATCTGTCGATCAGTGTCCAAAAAGAGGACATCAAATCTATGTTGTGTAGTAAAACAAAAACATACGAAGGTGCATACTTTTTATACAGCAGAGACTTCCAGTCTATCAAATGTGCGCCCACCGCAGGCCTCTCCGGGATAAGCCGTAATCAGTTAGCTAAAGTTTGGATGGATGGATCAACTTTCCCCTTAACTGTTGAATTCTAATGCATCGTTGTAGCAAAAGTACACCTGAACCCCAAATCTCCTTCTGACATTTCAACGAAAACGGTCCCAGTCTCGGTTAAACACCTGCTAACTGACCAGCATTTTAGCTACTGTTATCGTTAGCTAACATAGCATGCTATCGCTAGTTATGGCACTTACTCGATACATTCGCTAAACTGTCAGTAGCAATATGTCCGTCGGTAGCAATGCTAATATTAAACTTAAAAATAAAAAACATACGAAGGTGCATACTTTTTATACAGCAGAGACTTCCAGTCTATCAAATGTGTCCATCCACACCGTCTCCGAGACATCGCCCCTGGATCCCTTTTTTTTTTGTTTGCACTTTGAGTCTATTTTTTCCTTTGGTGCATTTGAAGTATAATCATCACAGGCAGCTGCTTAAATCATGTAAGTCACCTGTTAGCCTGTTTATGTATTAGAAACTTTTTACTTGAATCTCTTGTCACTGGGCTTTCTGATTTTACTTCCCCCATCCTTTGTAGCAACACGGGGAAATAATAAAATTAGTAAATCCATACATATAAACGCTGATGAGTCTACATGAAGCCTGTTTTTGTCAGGTGCATTTTTGCTGTTGGTCAGCCTGGTGAAGACTAATGATCTCTACAAGTTGCATGTGTACGTGCCAAGCCATATGAATGTCAGTCTGTCCAAAATAAAAAATAACTTGTGCCACGACGTAGAAACTTGATGGGCATTGCCAAAGCAACTTGTATTGTGACAGTACGATCATACTCTATAGCCTTCTGTTATAAACACCAGTACACTACTGTATGTGTTACATGTAGGTACTCTTAAATACAAGATTAGGTCAACCACCTGTGTTGCTGATACTGTGACTGTAATCCACAGGTTTGCTGATTTTATTGAAGGCTCTCCTCACTTGATGCCAAACGAGGTGTCTGTCCATGCGCAAGAATTTAGTTTTGAGGGATCTCTCTTTGAGGAGGAATTTTTTGACACCGATGACGAGGACGATGACGACGCTGTGAAGCCTGTGATGGCACCAGAGTGAGAGAACACACTGAGCTGCATAAAAATTGAAATGATTATTATTACCTGTCAGAAAGGTGGCCAGAGAACAAGGCCTCGTGGCTTCAGTGCAAATGCCCAGTGTGACTTGAGTAACGTACTGTGGAGGTTGGATCAAGAAAAGCCTGGATTGTCATTTCAGTCAAGGCACCACCTTGTATCTGGGCTTTCAACAAATCACTGGCGGTCACAGGCAGACTAGTGTGGTCAGATCTGTTATTACCATAAAAATATTAAAGGACTGAATGTACATTAAAGCCAGATCCTTTTTTAAGGAACAAAGGCTTGTGTTAAAATAGAGGTTATAAATATGCTGACAGTGAGCGAGGCCAGTTGGAAGTCAAAGCAAAGGAACTTTTACTGTGTGCTGGAAGTTTGCGTTGCGGTGTCTTATTCCATAGCTTATAAAAACATTTTAGTTTTCACAATGTTGTTTTCCGTCCTCTCACTGCAGATGATCCATCTCTTACACACTATTAACAGGTTCTCGGCTCAGAAGAGCAGCACAATACAGTGGAAGTTACTTCAGCTTTCTGCTCAGGGATTTAATGATTTGGTTATGTTTGTTTTTAATGACCATAAATTAATTTTAAAAAAGTGTTCCAAAGTATTCTGAATAAACGATACAACTGAGCTCTGACATGTACTGGCATCATTGTAAAGAATATTAAAGCTACAAGGTTGTGGGGTGTTTACACATCTACATGGCTTTGGTTAACTGTATAATGCACTGGAAACCTAAAAAGCAGAGGTTTTATCTTTCATAATGTGCTCGTAGACTTTTACTAAGATAAGAATCTGTCTCAAAATTGTACTTGAGCATTTCTGTTTCACTTCTACTCTTACATTTAAGGCAGATACTGTAGGTAAATGTTTTACATAGAAAATATCAGTTTAAAAAATAAAATGCATTATTCTAGGTTGGCTTAAACTACCCAACAGTATGTTAAGTAGCTAACATTAGCTTTACTTCAACTATCTACACCATATAATACGGCATACGGTCATAGATCTTGAACTTAAGATATTTACAATTTCTGTTAATCATTACATTCAAAGGTGATGTCTTCAAATTACCCAAAGAATGTCCAAAAAAAACCCCAGTATATTTAGTGGACAGTGATACAAAACAGCCACTCATTTAAGAAAATGACAGTTTGGGATATTTTTGCACATTTCTCACTAGGTTCATCAGTAGATAGCACAAGAGATTGGTTAATGATTTAAGCAGTGGGAGAATCTGTGGGATGTCCACTTTCCTAAGAGAAGAGGGCTGAAGTCAGACAGGATTTGCAGAAGCTGTTTGATTTTACCTGGTGCAGTAATCAGTCTGAATCTGTTTGGGGAAGGAATTACTCAAAAATCAGCAATATGAAGGTCATCGTCCCCCCTTCGGTTACCCTTCAGTATTTTACTGTGAAAACCCCGAGTCCAGCAAGTGTTTTTTCTTGGTTTAACTGTCTTTTTGGCCTCTGTTACATCTTAAATCTTCTGTTAAAACATGACGATATACAGTAAGTCTCAGGGAATTCTACATCTTCAGAGAAATAGAAACTTCTGACCTTTATCATATCTGTCACCTCTGAAATCTATTTTAGTATATCTTTCCATGTCAATCTGGCTTGAAAGTTAAAACAAAGAGATGACTGACATTATCTTCAACTGCATGTGTGTCAAATCAGCCAGCTGCAATATCTAGTGCCTCTCATCAAGGTTTATGTTCAATTAAATGTGAAAGCAGAACTGGGAAAAACTGCAGTGGACAACCTAATATGTTGTTCAAACACGATAGTGTTATCTTATTTCGGGCAGCTTTCAATATACTGGAGGAAAAAACACAGTATTCATCTTTTCTCTCCCACTCTTTAGTTTCAGTGAGCTGTATCTGATATCTTGGGGACATTGTGACCTTTAGTCCAACTGCCCCTTGCATCCCACCACCTACATGAATGTGCCTGTCCTTCCAGCATATGGAGGCAGGGAACTCCTCAATAACAGTTGCAAATGATCGCACAACACATTTGAAACAGTTGGTACAGCTAGCATGATTTGCATGTGTTTCCCAGGCTTAGGTTGGCACAACCGACACACGTTTCCTTTGTACTACTTTCCCCATGCGTCAACATCAGGGAAACCTCACTATAATGCAAACACAACCACACTGCACACAGAAGGGGGGAATCCCTTGGATATATATGAGCATACTGCAAACGATGTGTCAGCCCCCCTATGGTGACTTCATGTAAAGTGTCTGGACTTCCCCACAGCTTACAAACTGGCCCACAGGTGATCTACCGATTCTTACAAACCTCCACACAATATGGATTTGGCAGCTGGTCTACTTGACCATATGGAATAAAGCTACGATGACCAGGCGAGCACACCAGACAACTGGCACTGCATGTTTTATAAGAAGGAAAGACACCCAGCTTCCAGATCAAAGATAATTATGTGTATCATAGCAACAGAAAGCCTGCACTGTTTATTGTAGGTGTGTAAATGCATGCTGCACGTACATTCTTCATAGTAAAAGTATCAAGGAAAAAAATAAAATTGAAACTGTCATTTAGAACATGACTACTTGGCACTGAGAGCTGCACAGGCGTACAGCCAGTGAAGTTAATAACAGAAAAGCTACATCTGTGAGAGAATAATATTGTAGACACCTCACATATGAAACCTCTACAGTTCATATGCTGTTCTGGCTTTTGACGAACAAACATTTGGGAGAATACGTTCACAAACAATGCTTTTACTTTTATGCTGCAAGAGGCAGCACAAGCTTCATCTTCCATATATTGCTCCATAGTCTGTGCAGACATGATCAATTGAACATTCTCTTTTCCTCAAAGGCTACATATGAAATAGTTAAGTACAAACAGAAGAACTGGAGTCCAGTGTAGGTGGGTAAAATCCAGTGTTCAGTCAGTTCAGTTAGTATTTGTTGATACCAAATATCCGTACTCCGTGAAACTGAGGCAACTTGGGGATGAGGACACTAAGAAGGGAGCCTGTGTTGATTAGGAAATGTGTGGCATCATATTTTGTGTAGAAACTGGCAAGAATATACCTGCAGAAAGATAAAGAATAGTGTAAATGTAGTGTCAACATGGCAGGATCAACATTTCTGTTGCTAAAAACATATATGACAAACATGGCTGTTAACAGCTGTCTGCCACGGTTTGAGATTAAGGCCCCATGAATTAAAAAACTTGCTAAATCTGCCAATATTATCATAAATAAATAGCACACAGTGTGTGTGTGTGTACCAAACACACTTACAGAACAATTGGAGAGATGGTGAGGAATTTGCGTGACGATGTGAATTGGACACCGTAGTCTATCTGCTCCCAGTGAGTGAGCAGACGAGCTTTGCCTTGGTCTGGTGTCTCAAAGGGAGTGCCCTTCACTGTGTGTAGAAACAGGTACATCGCCTGCAGAGGATGGAGCACACAGCAGATACACACAATACTATCAGCAACAAAGACCGAGTGGTTTCCCTTGAAGCAGGTTCAGGTGTATGCTGCCTCATGAGAATCCACTCCAACCAGCAGGATGAAGGATTTTTACCTAAATTCTCATTATCCAGAGTGTCACCCTGTGTATGTATTGACTTGCCACAATATTTTGATAAACCACTGCAACAATTCAGCAAATGAAATTGCTTTTTTTTAATCTTTGATGATAAAACCAAAGAACATAATATACACAATGGAAAGAGTAATAATTGACTTTGAATTCTGAGGTGTCCTGTCAACAGTTTTATCATTTTGGTCTATAGAGAAAATAATTTTTTGGTCCTTCTGCAGCTTTTTTGTTGCAGTACCACAAGTGGCCATTGGGCGGAATTGGCTGAGTGGCGGTGCCGAGGGCTTGCAGTAGCTCTGTCCACATTTCCAGCCCATGAAATCCACCCACCAGCACCTCTAAAGCAGCCAAGAAATAGTCCAGCAACTTGGTGTTTTTAAACTTTGGTTTTTGTACAGATAAAACAAATGAGATATTTTCTTTTACTTTTAGACAGAGCCAACCTCTGCTATATAGGAAAGATACGGCATTAACATTATTACATGGCAAATAACATCATATTGCCATATTAACTGACCAGGTTGTGGATGACATTGGTCAGGGTCCAGACGAGCGGCACACTGATGAAAGGAATGCTGAGCAGAACAATGTGCAACACGATGGTCAGGAGCAGGTAGGTGAGCCAAATCCCTCTGCTGTTCATCACCCGCGTGTTGGGGTTCACCTCGCTGTGAGCTACGCCCACATTCATCTTGGATACACACAGAGACAAAAATATATGAGTTCAAGATGCTGAAGACAAAGGTCTGCAGTTTCAAGAAGCACTCACGGACCTTTTATTATTATTCCCTGTGATGCTATATGTCCAGTTTCTGTTTTTATTTTTCAAGTTTCCTGTTGTTTTATGTAATTGTAAACAGACATTTGAGTTTGGACTGTTCATTAGACAAAACAAGAAGTCATCTTGAAATCTGGGAAATTGTGATGGACATTTGTAACTACATTTAGACATTTGTGTACAAGAATTAGAAGAATGCCTTTAGTGTCATTGCACAGCTGTACAACAACAATGAAACAACAAGCAGCACAATCTTCAACCAGACCCAACACATAGCCTGCTATGCATAGACCAAATGATTAATTGGGAAAGTAAACGTTTAATTAATAAGTAAAATTATACTGTTGTCTTATAATCCCCTTTCTATTTTTCCCCAACAGGACACAATGTCTATCTCCATTTGAGACTGTCCCATACAAGGGGATGTAGGAAACAGGACAACAGCTTTGTTTTCTGTCCTAATGTAACAAAATCACCCTACCAGCACATAAAAGGTGGGATTTATACTACATTAGAAGGGTTTTCAAACTGTATTTTCCAATTTTGCTTAAAAAGACTAAGAATGAAGACTGGTTGGTTTTGTGAATGTCCATGTGTTAGCTTCTCATCTGTGTTAAAGTGCACGGCTACTTTCCACACAGTAGATGAGATGGTCCAAAATTACACTGCTACATATTTGCATTTGAGACACAATCATTGGGTCATGTATATTGGACTTACTCAAGCCAGTTAAACTGTTACCTAGGGCAGATTTGTGAAAACGTATAAAACTGATAACCCTCCCTCCAACTGCATTCCCTGCAGCTTGTACAGGTAGGAAGCTCACTCCCCAAAACAGTTCACAAATTATAATGGGCAGCTGTGGCGATGTAAAAGCCCCACTGCTCACTTCATTTACAGGATAAAGCAATGACATAGCAATATAAAGGGAATAGCTGTCTTTTGAGTCAGGAGGACTGGAGTATTAGAAGTATTGTGTTTTACCGAGCTGTATTGAGATTACTTATTTTACTATTGACCTATAGACTACCAGAATAGTTGTATTATAAAATGGACCGTCACTGGGTCCATGGACCACTGTTTGAGTACTACACGGTGTGAATGATGAAAAGAAACTTTAAAAACAACAACAACAAAGAAACACCCAACTCTGACGAAATGACTCCGCCCGACGGAATTCCTTCTAGTGACTAAACAAGCGCTTCCTCTAACAACATCAATAAGATAGCTGTAGCTGCACCATTCACACACACTAACCCGGGCAAAAACAATGAAAAAGTTGAATTTACGCACAACTATGATGCATTGTACTATAACATGACACTACCCTTTCACACAGTCCTAATTTTAGTCTGACAGTTACGGACAAGAAATGTTACATTCGCAAACTAGCTAACACTTGCTACTCATAGGCTAACATGCTAATGTTAGCATTAGTGCCAAGTTACAGTAATCACGCTGTAAGGCCGACAGACGACATATTAATGCAACGGGGCATTGATTGCTTCGATTACATCATGAATAAATAGTCTGGCCCATACGGTAGTATATTTCAAGGCTTAAAACTTGACATTTCAACAGAGCAAACTTTACCTTCCCGTATTGTCACAGCTCAAAAGGAAGTTCCTATTTATCCCTCTAACTCCGCCTTCGTCAGCTTTACTGGGCTGGTTCCTCTGCTGCAGCGGACACCTGTCAAAAAAACTGCAGCTTGTCTGCTCCTGACCTCAACAATGACAGGTAAAGGGAAAAGCGGCATTTATTTTTTGCTGTCTTCTAAGAAATTCCCAGGTTGCCACAATAAATGGAGCCAATAGTTTATCACCGTTAATTTCCATACAAAAGCTCGATTCCCACACAACAGAAGGTATGGGCAAACAAACCGGACGCACATATAGAAAAATCAACGAGGTCTTTTTTTTCTGTAAGAGTAAACCGCTGTTTGAAAACACCTCCAATAGGTCTAAAGTACAAATTTCATCTTTATGTGCCTTGGCCCAGTGTAATTTTGCGTCTTCTTCTCGTTCAGCTGTGCAAAGCAGCAAGTTGCTCAATACCGCCAACTGGTGGTTTGGGAGGTTACACGGTGACAGTGGGACCCGCTGTTGAGGTACTTGTGTTTTACTCCAGTATCTCAGTTTTCTGTTACAATTATTGTGGGAATTGTATTACATTTATTTTAACTTTAGTCATTTGTTACCTTGGAGATTAGGTTTCATAGCCTAATACTGAAACAGAATCAAAAAATGAATTATGATGTAATAATATAGTTTAAGACTATTGATTGGCATGAAAAAGTCACAAACTACCCAGCAAAGCAAGTCAAATTAGCACCACCTTTACCAGCTGCAACAATAAAGGGATCTGCACATATATTACTCTGAAATGGGGCATTCTGAATAATAAGTACTTTTACTTTTAGTATCTTAAGTATATTTAGATGCAAACACTTTTCTATTTTTACACAACATTTTGAATGTACATTTTAACACAGTATTACATTTCTACATTGTGGTATAACTACTTTACATTTACTTAAGTACTAAGTACTTTTTCCACATACACTAAATGTTCACTGAAGCGCCAATGCCACACCTGAACCAAATGGACTATTTACTCATGTCTGTGCTACTTTATAGTACTTTAAGATGGATTGGTGTTGTACTGGGCTACATTATAGGGTCAGAATATTAGGAACACCTCTAAATATAATGTAGTCCAGTAGAACACCACCTTTAACTATGGCCCTTTTTTGTATATGTACGTGCTGATTGCATGAGCAGTGTGCAAAGAAGTGAAATAAGGAAGTGATGTAAACGTCACATTAATACTGACCCCCGGATTACATGTGTGGGACATGCTGAGCAACTAAGGCATGCTGTGTCAGTCATTTCTTGAAACGCATACTTATATTAACACTTTCTATTTAAATGTACAGCACCTGTTACAGTGCTCTTTGTTCTGATGCTGCTCTGTGACTCTAAAACCTTTGCACAATACTGTATATTTTTATAGATCGTGCTGTTTCCAGGAAATTACCAAGATCGGCTTCTTTAACACTAATGAAAAGTTAGAGAAATGTCAGAATCATGAAAAGCTTGAACATCTGCAGCTACCCTGTAGCCGAGCAACTGAACGGTGAAAAGCTCAGGAGCAATGCTGTAAGCGGACCTTGAATTAAGTTTGTTTAAACAAGTGCTTTACTACTGGTTTTTATGGTGGATAATGTCTCAGCAGCTACAGGATGATTTACCATGAAATTTTGTACAGACATTCATGGTAAGAAGAGAATGAATCCTACTGACTCTGGTGCTGTTGACCGCAAACAGCAGGTCAAAAATTTCACTTAGCCAGTGAACACGTCGACATCTTCCAAGACTGACTGGCACACATTTCGGTACTGAAATTCACACGCATGAATTTGTTTGACAGTCTGTTTGGTGATCCCCTTGCTTTCTATAATCAGGTCAAATTTTAAAACATTTCAGTTTGTAATTAACAACATTTTCTTTAGGCTCAGCTACACTATGTGCTTAGTGCTACTTTGTACTGTTGTAAACACTATTAAAGCCAGGATTCTTTCATTGTGTAAATGGTCAGAAAATGTCAGCTGTACTTATTAGGTCCCTCTAGATTATCTTTAACATCTTTGTTCATGTGACACTACAGAGGACTCAGTGTAACATGCTGACCTTTCTGCTTACATCAGCCTCATACAAATAAACTGTACAGTTGTCAGGTTTGCTCGGTTTCACCTGCCTCTTTCCTCTCTCTTCCACACACCTGCCAGCTATTCTCATTATCACCACTTGTGTTTTTGATTTGATTTGATTTTATTCTTTCAAACATGTAAAGACAGTCAATATGTCAACACACATAATTTCACACATATCCACAAATGCATTATCAATTTGCTTATACCTAGTACATGCTTGAACGGAGTAGGAAGAAGTTAGACTTATCTAGTCCTACCCCATAACATCATCTTACCATCATTGGTTTGCAAGCAGTATTTCTACATAGATAATTTTGTTCTACACCACGCTAGTGATATACTAAAAAATTATTACAGATTAACATTCTTACATAATTACATTCTTAGATAATTATCTTCTAC